TGGCCCCTTCAGTCTGCTGCCTGATGAGCTGCTGCTCAAGGTTCTAAAGATACTGGAAGTGAAGGACCTGTGCTCCGTCAGCCTGACCAACAGCAATCTCAACAAGTTTATCGTTGGCAACTTTCTGCTCAGCAAATCGGGCGTCAACTTTCTGATCCGCGCCAGCCAGTTTGACCCGTCGGCCAATCGAGATCGGCTTTTTGAGCTGTTCTCGTCAATCGGTGGGTAGACCACTGCTACTGCTGTAAACAAACGACAGTCTAACCGTTTCTATTTGGCAGGAAATTTTATCAAGCGGGCTACATTTCTCTATCAAACCACTGAACGTATCACCATTCTGCTCACGGTGATGGAGCACTCCTATGGAATGGTCAATCTCGCCACCTTTGAAGTCTACAACGTGAAGCTCATCTTATTATAAACGGCCACATGATGAACCAACTGATCCTGGGCTCGAAGCAGAAGCACGAGCTGCTGATTCGCTTCTTCTACCGAATGATCTGCAACAGCGCCGGCAGCGAGTGTTTCATGGAGAAGCTGCGCTGGATCAGCGACCAGCACCAGGCGCTCACTCTGGAGAAGGTGGCCCGCCTCTTCATCGTCATCTTTGGGCCGATCATCTCGACGAGTGATGTTGACTTCTTGCAGCTGCATTCACAGACGTCGCCTCCGCCGCTGCCCTTCATTCCCTGGTTGGAACCTGACCGACTCGCACTTTGTCAAGTTTGGCTTTGAAGACCTCGGCCTGGTGCTGCAGGTGTACTACAGATCTGGCTTCCATCTGCAATTCGCACTTCTTCAAAATGGACCCAAAGCTGCACCACTACGGCGTCAACCTGGTGGACGAAGGAATGGACAGCTTCAAGAGCAAGATCAACATTAAAGTCCAGCACGCCTCAGAGCAGGTCATCGCTGCTGTTGAGCGACACGGCGGCAGCATCACCACGGCTTACTTTGACATGAAGAGCGTCATGGCCCTGCACAATCCAGCCAAGTTCTTCGAGAGCGGTAAAGGATTGGCTTTTATGGCCTTTTTAATCAACCTGATTAACTTTAATCATTTTTCCCTTCAGGACAACCTATTCCGAAAAGAGAACTTCCAACCGAAGATGCATTCGAGTACTACAGCAACCCGAAGAACCGAGGGTACCTTGCCGACCCTGCCGAAGTCGAAGTGGAGCGGAAGCTACTGGCGCAAAAATACGGCTACGAGTTGCCCCAAGTGAAGGAGCCACCATAGAGCAGCTGAAGAGCCAAGAGCGTGCAATTCATTGAGGACATCGACACGGCGGAGCTGGAGCGGCTGATCAAGTCGGTGAGCTTCTTTCGCCGGAAGGCGCTCTACCTCAAGTCGCAGCTCGAAGTACTCATTCTAAGGCATCATCAAGTTGTGCCAATTTGATTACGATTCTTAGTTTATTGTGTGTGTAAATATGTACAACAAAGTACAACTCATCTCATATTAAAAAGGGGTTAAAACTCTTGAAAGATATAAGAAGTAGAAAAGGGAGAAACAACAAGGTAAGTGGAAGCAGTGTGTGCTGTGTTGTGGGCGGTCAAAAAGAAAAAAAGATGGGGACCACAAAAGAAGAAGAAAAATTGCAGTAGGCAGAAGATGGTGGCCTACAGATGAGAAGCGAAACGTTGAGCACGTTTCTCACGTTTAGCTTTTTCTTCTTCTACTTCCATTTCCTCGCTCCAGCTATTGGCTGGTTTTTGGAGGACTTTAGTAGGAGCAGGTTGAGCTGGCAAAACGCTGACCACTGTTTTGAGCTTGGTACTCAAAGCCTCTTTGGCTTCCTTGAGAGCCTGCTCTGTAGCTGAAATTCGGAGTCGAAGTTCATTGAGTTCATTTGATCCACCAGATCCGTTCGACTTGACGACGTTGTTTTTTTTTGCAGCGTTTTTTTTTAATTTTTTGAGCGCTTTACGACGGACGTTCCGCTTGTTGTGACGTCCTTTGGTGGTGCTTTGGCTGGTGGTGGTGGTGGTGGTGGTGGATGAAGGTGCACCAAGGTACACATTACCATTGATAATGAGTTTAGCTGCATTCATTTTAGTCAAAAATTGTGAAACGTAGTATTAAAAACAGTGCTTTTTATTTACTTAAAAAATTAGAACTTTACAAGCAGGTTTGTAATTACTTTCTCTTTTTTTTCTTTGTTTGCCCTATTATTCAATCACCAGTTGAGAGAACGCACACCCTTCTTCTATTAGTATTTTACCATAAAACACGGCTGTTATTCTTAAGTGTGTTGCTCAAAATAGTGAAACTTCCTCAAGTTCCTCGTTGTCATTCTCATGTACGTTCTTTGCTGAACGCCAATAAAGGTCTATCAAATTCTGAGCTATTACGAACTGCTTCCAATGTGCAGTGAGAAACAGCTTTTAGAATTAAGAATCCAGCAAATTTTTTAAATTAACGAGAAATGTCGCCGTCAGTCGCTGTTCACCGAGGTGGGCCCGTAGACCCGTAGATCACTTTCCTTTCCCCAACCCACCGAAACAGTAGTGATATTAAATGTTGAGTTGGTGGATTAAAACTGCTAGCGCAGTAGAACTGCTGCTGCTGCTGCTGAATTGATTATAAGTGAGTGAGTGTGCTAGTGAATGAATGTTTGCATGAATTCGGTGGTGGTGAACAGAAGAAGAAGAAGATTGCCTGCCAGTTTAGGTTGGCAGAATTGAGTAAAAAAGAAAGAGAAAGATACGGCTTTGACACGGCGCCGCCCACCATTGCGCTCTGTAGTGATGGTTCAAAAATGTACTTCTCGTCGTCGCTTGAACTGCTCCCTTTGGCCACGTTGGTAGTGATTGGTTTTTTTGAAAAGATGATGAGGATGATAAAGGTTAAAATCAAATGGATGCAAACACAGAAAAGGAAACAGTGATAAGTTCACTACTGACAAAAGTTGAAACTGTTTTTTAGTGATGAATGTGCTTGTAAAAGTTCACTAAAAAGTTAAAATGTAAAGTGGTAAACATTTTATTTGTTTAAAACGGCCATGAAGGCACTCGGAAAGGAAAGGCGGTGAGGAAAGAAACCTGATCAAATAGATTTGGTAGTAGATTCGTTTCGCTAGAAGGAGGAGCAGTGTTTTTTCGACTAGCAATACTTGTCATTCTGTCGCATCATTTTTGAGTCAGGCTTCACTGGTCAATAGATTTAGTCTCGGGACTCGTCACTCTTGTGCGATCAGGAGCGAATCGCTTGAGTAGATTTGCACACCTCTCTGCGTCATTTTGACCAGTTTTCCTCTGCGACAATTAAAGCCATCCACTCGGGCAGTGTCCTCAGCAGTTAAAAGGAAACAATAAAAAAGCAGTTAGTAAGGGTGAACCGCTTATTTTTCCACACTTACCAGACCACTTTCATGATCTTTTGTTGCGCGTGTGCGGCTTCTTGCCGAAAAGGCCCAGTTTTTTTAAGAGTGCCTCGTGGCGCTCTTTCTGCTCGGTGGCAGCGCGGTCCCCCTCCTCCGGGTCAGCAAGTGCCTTCTGCTGCCGGGCGCACTCCGTTGGCCAGGTGTCAAGCAGGTGGAGGTCCACCACCATCGCCTGTCCCTTGGTTTTTCCAACAGGATGACTCAAGACGTGCTTATTAGCGTCTGATCTGGAGGGCTCGAGATGGCCGCACCATTCGTCACGGCTTGCCAGCTTCTGCCCGGGATAGCTGCAGATTAAGGGCCGGACTCCTCCTGCATGGACTCGCCACCAGTGGACCCGCTGGCTATCACTGTCCCGGAAACGGACCCCGCATACGGGGCAGACGCCGTATTGTTCCGGGCGGGGTGGAACCAACCCGGGCGCCGCCGCCGGCAGATCCTCGACGACGGTCGGCTCGTCTCCGCCACCAACCGCCGCAGCGGGTTCATCGTCGACGATGGGCTCCGCCATGTCGACGCCGCCATCCGCCGCCGGGGGCTCATCGTCGAAGAAGGGCTCCGCCATGACGACGCTGTCCACCACCGGCTCCTCCATCAAGCGAGGGACTTTTGCCGGCGGCTCCAACGACGATGGCGAAGGGGACCGACGCCGGTCCTGGTCCTGGTCCTCCTCCTGGTCCTGGTCCTGGTCCTCCTGGTCCTGGTCCTCCTGGTCCTCCTGGTCCTGGTCCTGGTCCTGGTCCTGCTCCTGGTCCTGGTCCTGCTCCTGGTCCTGCTCCTGCTCCTGCTCCTGCTCCTGCTCCTGCTCCTGCTCCTGCT